CATTGATCGAGGGTTACTGTTGGGTAAGTTACAGCAAATAGGCATCAAGAAGGTTGAGCTGAAATGGTTTGAGAGCTTTTTAACCAACAGGAAGCAGCACACAGTCATAGGGGAAGTGTTGTCTGACGATTTGCTCGTGGATATTGGACTTCCACAGGGTTCAGTGCTAGCGCCTATTCTGTTCAACATTTATATCAACGATATTTTATCATCAATCAGGTATTGTAAGATAAGATTGTTTGCTGATGATGCATTGTTGACCATAAGCGAAGATGATTTAGGCGCAGCAATCCATAAAATGCAAAACGACTTGGACTCACTGTATATCTGGTTATGCAAAAATAAGTTAATGTTAAATGTAAAAAAGACAAATTTTATGGTAATTTCTTCATCTAATAAAACGAGTCTAGAACAACATGAGTTACATGTTAAGAACGAAAAAATTTCAGAAGTAACTACAATTAAATATCTTGGTATTCAAATTGACAATAAATTAAAATTCCATGATAACATTGACCATATTGTGAATAAAACGTCGAAAAAAATTGGATTTATGAAAAGAACATGCAAACATCTAAGTAGGAGATATAAAGTCATAGTTTATAGATCAATTGTCGAACCACACTTCATATACTGCCCTACTATTTTGTTTATAACATCGGACACGCAGATAGATAAGTTACAAAAAATGCAAAATAGGGCTATGAGACACATTCTTAACGCCCGATACGATACCAGCATCTCGTCAATGCTGAATGAGTTAAACTGGCTAAATGTGAAACAATTAATTTTCTTCCACTCAATGAAATTTATTTATAATATTAAGAATGGAGCCCTTCCAAAATATTTGAGTGACAACTTTAGGTATAGTAGTGACACTCACACCTATAAAACAAGAGTTAGGGATAATTTTAAACTCCCATTCTGCCAAACGGAAAACCTAAAGCAAGATTTGTACTATAAAGGTTTAAAAACATACAACGAACTGCCGGCAAATATAAGAAGCTGCAACAGCTTACAACAATTCAAAAGTCGATTATACCACCACTGCAAAATATATGTATAGAATGAAATGATAAAAAATTTTATTTTAAAGGATTGCTGCTTGATTCAGTAGAGAGGGTCGGCATGGAAACTAGTCCTTTCCATTCGCCCTACAGTACGGCTCAAGATCTAGATCCTTTCCAGTAGAGAGGGTCGGCATGGAAACTAGTCCTTTCCATTCGCCCTACGGTACGGCTCAAGATCTAGATCCTTTCAGACCACTTGTATAACAGGAATATTTAAAGATAGATTGGCTCGGAAACTAGTACTTTCCGACTGATCACAAATTACTTTATAGCCTTTACATATGACCACAAAGCCTGAAGTGAAGTTGCGACTTGGAATAAAGTCCACAGCAATGGTACAGGAAGTGCGGCTCTGGAACTCGTCCTTTCGGGCCGCCCACCTAAACAGTACCCAACATTCGGGCTGCTCGGGATCCCGTCCATTCCGACAGCCACGGTCACACTTATAATTTAATTTAATATAATTAATAAAATTACCTTGTTTAAATGTATATATATTTGTACAGGATAAATGTTAGGATAGTCCTCTCAAAAAAATGTGTAAGAACAAAATATGTAGTGAAATAAGAATATTGTTTTCATGTATGATTGTGGATCCTGTGATGTAA